ATATTTTTGGTTCAGAAAGTTGAAAACCTGTGAGGTAAGTTAAAGGTGGGGTGGCAGGTAATAAAAGAAATTGGCTATGGTCAGCATGATAAAAAAAAAAGGATGGAAGTTCAGAGGTCAACCCCAGATTCTCAACAAGTCATTTACTATGGAGGATGTGCAGGAGGCACTTGATTGATGATTCTCTCTCATCGATTTCTAACTCTCTATCCCTCTCTCTTTCTCTCTGTAAAAAATCAATTATATATATATATATTTTAAAAATGGGCAACTGATCTAAATAGGTACTTTTCAAAACAGAAGGTCAAGAGACATATGAAAACCTGCTCAAAGTAACTAATCATTTGAGAAATGCAAATCAAAACAATGCAGTACCATCTCACACCTGTCGGAATGGCTATCATCAACAAATCAACAAATGACAAGTGCTGGCAAGGATATGGAGAAAAACGAACCCTCGTGCACTGCTGGTGGGAATGCAGACTGGTGCAGCCACTGTGGAAAACAGTGTGGAGATTCCTCAGAAAACTAAAAATGGAACTCCCATTTGACCCAGTGATCCCACTTCTAGGAATATATCCCAAGAAACTAGAAACACCGATCAAAAAGGACATATGCACCCCTATGTTCATAGCAGCACAATTTACCATAGCTAAAATTTGGAAACAGCCTAAGTGCCGATCAGATGAGTAGATTAAAAAACTGTGGTACATCTACACAATGGAATACTACTCTGCAGTAAAACGGAGCTCTTACCATTTGCAACATGGATGGAGCTGGAGAGCATTATGCTAAGTGAAATAAGCCAGGCAGAGAAAGATAAATATCACATGATCTCACTCATTTATGGAATATAATGAACATAAACTAACAAAAACAGATCCAGAAACAGAGAAATATCTATCAGAATGTCAAACCTCAGGGAAAGTAGAAGCCGGTGGGGGACAGGGGGAGAGATCAGCCAAAGGACTTGTATACATGCATGTAAGCCTAATCAATGGACACAGACAACAGGGGAATAAGGGCGTGAATGGGGAAGGGGGGTAAGGGAGAATAAGAACACACATTTGATGAAGAATAGATTGATCTAGAGACAAATGGTAGAGGAAGGAAGGTTAGAAAGCAACCAAAGGATTTGTATGCGTGAATATTAGCATAACCAATGGACAGACACTGGAGTGGTGGGGGCTTGCTCCGGATAGGAATGGCTGGGGAAGGGTCAATTGGGGAAAAAGGAGACATAAGGTAAACTTTAGACAATAATAAAAAATAAAAAAAATTCTTGGCTGTGAATATCTAAATAACTTCTGCACAATGCACTAGGATAACTTGGTTCTAGTTCCATGAAATACTATTAAGCAATGAGACATACTTTTTTAAATGTCACAATCGAAACAATTATATTATTGTGATAATTTTAACGATCCTTTGTTTAAATGTTCTGCCTATTCTCTTCAGCCTTTATGTCAAAGGCTTCAGGATATTAGCAACATTAGCTGACTCCTAATTTGATGTCTCCCTTGAATGACACTATTTCACTTTTCCCTTTTTACTAGTTTGCTGGTCCCTGTTTATGGGACACCTAGAAATTACCTACTTAATCCTCTATGAATTAAAATCTGCACCTGGTTATTAAATACACTACAAGGCAGATCTTGGGAATGAAATTTTTATTTACATACTGTATCTAGAAGCAGATACATAAATTCTTATACAATTATTTCCAAAAATGTGCAAGTAATTACTATAATTTGTGTACAAACCAAAACACGTATTAAAATCAATGGCCTTTGGATAATTCATTGTGTGGTGCTCTCGTACAAATGATACACACCTGATTGGAAACATACAGAAAAGTGTAAACTACAGCAATCTGGATTCCAAGGATTAATTTCATGGCACTCTGACTACAAAATTCCTTTAACCCAACGTGTATACCTATTACAAAATTCTGTAAGAATTTCTCATCATCTCTGGATGGGCTGTTTGAATCACTTTTCAGCAACAGCATCTGCCATGTTGTGACTAATTATTACAAAGGATGTTTATAAAAAACCATCTTTGCAGGATTAAAAAAGTACTTGAAGAAACCAAATTTGTGATTACTAGTGTACCCATACTTCAGAATTTTTAAGTTATTTATGGAACTGGCCATTGTTCCTAATTGAAAGTAATAGTTTTCAACAAAACTGTCTAATGCTGGTAGAGATTTCAATTTCAAAATCAGACTGCACATTTCATGAAAACCCACTAAGATTGAAAATATATTATCAGAATCACTCATAAAGCAAATCTGCTGTATACAATGTGAAATGGACGATGATTAAGACTAGTGTTTCTGAAAGCGCTGTTAAGAAAGATACTTAGACTTTAGCACAAGCAGAGAAATGGCATATATCCTCTATTTAAGATGTTAATTTTGTCCTGTTTCAATAATACTGGCTCAGTAATGAAAATGTATACTTGATTATAGTTCCTATGTGCCAATGATTTAGCCTTTGGCACATGATTTTCTTCATAGCAAGAAGGTTGCCCTGTGCAGCTGGCTTCCTTAAAAACTATTTTTAGCTCTGTGATCATTTCCTCTGATATAATACTTTTGACTTCGAAATCTTCAGATATTGCACCAAGTAGAAACATAACAGTTTTCTTTAGAAAGAGTGAGATATTTTTCAAGTACTTTGTAAGCTTTCTTTTTATAAAAATGCATAATAGTGTCCTACTAAGTCTGGAAATAGCTCTGGCCTCCAACGTGGTTTTTGATGAAATATTTGATAAAAACAGATGATTCATTTTATTATGGCAAAAGGATACAGCTTTTGTTTTCTTTCATGCCTTGAGTTCAGATTTTTAGAATCATATTTTAAAAATCACTCCCTGTTTGTGTCCATATCATCTAAGCCACCATTCAATATAATCCAAAAATTTATCCAAATTGTATCTAGACCAGCGTTTTTCAACCGCTGTTCCGCGGCACACTATGTTGCCTGGTGTGCCGTAGGTGCAGACAAGACAAGAATTTTATAATTTTTCACTATTTTGTTTACTTAATATTTCATAATAAAGTAATTATAAAATACTTTCTTTGTGTTTATTTGATTCCTATTCAAGAGAATTACTTTATATATAGTCAATATAGGCACAGAGTTAAATTTTTTAACATTTTCTAATGGTGGTGTGCCTCGTGATTTTTTTCATGAAACAAGTGTGCCTTTGCCCAAAAAAGGTTGAAAAACACTGATCTAGATCAAACTACATTTATCTCTCATTTCCCCTTCCCATTTTTAATCAAACTGTTTTAGGATCCTGTAAAACCAATCTTTCCTAATTGCATTGCCTATTCCAAATGGTTCTCTCTAGGCAAAAGCAGAAAATACTGCAATACTTCTCTTTTTGTTTGTAAATAATTTCTTGGCAAATACTTTTATTTTTATCAACAGAGTATCAGACCCTAGGAATTTCAAATTCAATTAGAAGAGGACATGTTACTTTAAAGAATTTGATATATGAATATACGAAAGCACGTAAGAACGGACTTTCTAAATTAGAAGAGTATCAACATTTGCTTTCCATAAAAACACAAAATACAATTTTAAAAACATTCAGATGAGAATCATAATAATTTTAACTGGAAACTAAATGGCTAGATCTTAAACACATTCCCATGAAGAAAATGTAAGGAACAGGCTACGCCCGCATGCTGAGATGGGGTTCTGGGCTGTCCAAAGACCCCTGTGCACCGTGATCTCACAAAGGGTACATGTAAATGCTTCTAGAAACATGGAGAAGCCATCTCAACATCTGTTATTAATACACAGTGATCTGTGACAATACCTGCCATCTAATATAGATGCACAGGGACTTTTAACTCACCCTAGATAGACTTTAAATTGTTTAAAAATAAATAGTTTTGCAAAAAAATAGTTTAAATGTCTTGCATTAATTTGATAAGATTACAACTCTGTAATAGTTCTTAATCCAAATAGCTTATAGTGAACACTTAAATTATATTATTACAGTATACTCAACACTCCATCTTCTTAGGTGAAAACATCAGAAAATGAGGCTTTGAACAAGGTACAATCAACATTCCACCAAAATTAAGTACCCTTCCCCCTTTACGTTAAAATACCATAACACTATGTTATGGCATTGTGCCTTTTTTTCTTATATCTCAGTTCTGACCCTAAAAAACAAAGAGAAAAAAAAAGGGATACTACTATGTCTGAATGACAAAGTCATTAAATTTGACCTAAGACCTTTACTCTTGTTCTTAAACAGAGGTGTGGGGGTGTGTGGGAGGGGGTGGGGGGGTTAAAAGCTAGGAAAACTGAGTGACAAAGGTAAAACTGTCATAAATTACATGTTGCATCTGAGATGAAAACATTTTCTGGATGAGGCAATCCCCAAATACTACACTAAAGAATCATGAAGTGGGTAAACACTACATTTCAAAATAACTACAAAGTACTGGGGATATCACCTCCCCCCCAAAAAAACCCAAAAATTGAATCTAAAAGTTAAAATAACTAACAATGCCAATTTACCTAAGACTTAAAAAAAATAAAACAATAAAAACCGGCTTTTAAATGGCAGTATATATAGAAGGCAACAAGAATTCCACATATATGATATAGTTTTAATGTTTTTCTTAAACATTAAACAATGGTGTTTGCAATTTCTACAAATTTTCAACTAAAGTCACTGGGTTTGTTGTTTGTTTTCTTGGAGGGATGAATGAAAGGTCAAATCTAGCACATCTTAATAGTGACTATACATAAGAAAACATAAATCCAACTTTAAAAGAGTGTTTTCTTTCTATTCAAATCAGTTTCAATTTTATAGAAACTTTAATATTCCAAGAGAATCTAGTCCATTTATGAAAACCAATTCTATACCAAGTTCACCCAAGAAAATGTTGACTAAACAAAAGAAATCAGAGACAAAAAAACATTTTAGCAAAGGAAAATAAACACACAAAAAAAACTATCACAGGAAACTATGACCATCTAGTACTTCTTTAATATCTCTAATGCCATAGATCTTTATATGTTATGCCAATTTGTACCAGAACTTAGGACAGAAAAGGCAACAATTTCTAAACTGGTTATATGCAGTTCTTTATGATTTTTTTATGTAAGGCCATTTATTAAAATAGACAAATCACAAGATGAAAATGAAGGCAACAGAAAAATTCAAATTTTCACAATACAAAACAAAAAAACAGCACAGTCTTTAAAATAATTTAGAAATGAGTGTTATAAAAGATACGTTGCAGGTCCACATTCCAGTACCCAAGATTACATCAATTCATAATTCTAAATAAATCTTTCTCAAGTATGAGATTAAAAAATCATTTTCAGTGTACATGTAAATTCTCTGTTCTATCACAAGGGTATGATTTCTCAACATTATCTTTGAAAATGGGCCATTTAAAGAGACATGACAATTTTCATTCTGTAAGTTTCATTCAACTTTACTTAGGGTTGAATACACATGAAATGTGCTTTTAATGCATAAAAATCACAGTGGATAGCAGCAAAGGACGGGGGGTGGGGGAAAGGAGAATCTGATCATTCACATTGTGATTATTCTGAACATTGATGAAAGAGAACTCACACTTGTTAAGCCTCAAGATTCCCTTTTTAAAGAACCAAAATAAAACCAAGACACCTTGCCCACACTTCCCACCTGAAAACAAATTGATTACTCTTTTACATAGAAAACTGAAATAGTATGGCAGCAAAGATTCTGATAGCAATGAACATCTGTAAACTGTATTTCAATCTCTTTTCCTTCCTCCCAAAGTGCAGGACTCAGGGCTCCCCTAATTTCAGTAGTGCTTCTCCTGTAAATAGTCCTTCATTTTGTTAGGCAAAGGCAGTTTCTGAATTAGGTCTATCCTGGTATACTGACGTATAACAAAGCGACACAGGTATTGCAAAGAGCGAACCTGCATGAACCGGGACACCGGATTGGTCAGTCTGACGGGGTAAGTTGCAGACCCGGGCAACCGAGACCTAGAATAGCAGAAAGCTCCGTTTTCAGAGTCCCTGATTGAATGCTCGATTAGATCAACTATAGACGTATGTCCTTCCACATCTGGCTGCTCATAAAAACTAAACCTACCATTTGAGTGTTCGATTCTAGTGTGAAGTGTTTTGCCATGGGAGCGGAAGCTCAAGCTTAAAAGGTAACGGTCGTCAGAACTGTCCCGAACAAGGAAAGAGCCATCGGGCACATTGGCTAACTTCCCTTCTGCCTCCCAGCGTGTGATCGGTCCCCAGTACCATCCTTGTTTTGCAAGTTTTTTCAGCTCCTCCGTAAGGCTTGTCACAACCATGGGCCCACTACTCTGCACTGAGTCGTAAACTCTGGCAACCCCAGGGGCAGAGTTAGGATCGAAGTTCAAATGACAGCGCATACTCTCTGCCACGTGGGCGTCTGCGCCAGTGATCCCGCCGAAATTCCTTTGGATCGGATTCGTCTGCATTGGAGGTAGCAACGGTGAGAGCGGAGGGGCATCGTCGTGACTTGCTCTGGGGCTCTGCAGCATGACCCCCGTGGTGCCGATCAACAGGCCATTCACCGACTGATCCACAAAGATCTCTGGGGCCACCACGAGCTCCTGGTCAACCTGATTCTCGTCTTCGGGGAAGGAGCTCCCTCCCCCGGGAGGAGGGACCGCAGAGACTTCCATGGGAGAAGACCCGTCCAGACAATAGCCGCGGGGTCCTTCCAGAGGGTACATCCCCTCCTCTAAAGGCACAGTATACTGAATGTAGTCCTGAGGCATAAGTCCGATAACGACAGGCACATGCTCATCAAGGTGAAGGTGCAGGTCTCCGTTCGGAGAATCTGAGCTCTTCAGGGAACTGTTCTGTTCCTGGCACACCGAGTCCGACTGAAGGTCATGGAAGTCCTTGCGAACCCCGTTGAGGGCTGGGCTTGGACTGGAAGAGTGCACCAAAGCCTTGACTCTCACCTCCATCTTGATACATGTCTCCTCAGAGTTTGTGGGCCGCAGAGGCCATGGCGTAGGGCTGTAGTGATGGCTGCGGAGGGACGTGGACCGGATGGGCCTTTGAGCTCTCACATCTTTAAAGACCATGGGTGCTGAGGAGGAGGAGAAGGTGTCCTCGTCAGCAGAGCTCCCAGAGGGGCCGCCGCCCTTGCCCTTCTGCTTCTGCTTGGCAGAAAGCCGTCTTTTTAACGTACCCATGAGGCTTTCGCTTTTGGATCTGTTTTTGGCCCCCTTGTCATCTTCACCGTTGATGTCGCAGCTGGCCATGTCCTTCCCATAACAGCTACCGAACAAGGAATCTTCTTTCCCAAAATCACCAGCTAGTGAGGGCTGTTGCACTACCATGAAATCTGCTTCTTCTTTACTTTTAGTCAAATTGAAAGATTTCCGGAAGGTTTTAAGACTGATTTTCTTCATTATGACTGGTGACCAAATCCAAGGGAATCAATTTCTCTCTGGAATACTGTCCTTGAACATTAGGACAGGCCATATGCAACGCTGCATCTGCATACTTTTCCAGCTTCATCTACCTTTTAGAGGCATTTTCTAAAATAAATAAATAAATAAATATTATTAAAATGTCACAATAAAATTTTTTTCACAAAACTTTTATCTTACTCAGTTTCAACCCTTTAGCTTTTGAACAAAGACACCCAGGTATGTTCATAAGAAGGTCAGGTCCATTAAAACAGGTGTGTTTTTTTTTCACCCATTTCCCCCAACGAAATAGATCAGTGCCTTTTATGTAATCAGCATTTGACAAATAATGCTTAAAGAACAAACCCTAATCTACCTGTTTCTTTTTATACCTTGCTTTTTGTTGTCTCCTGAATTATGGGTCCAAGTTCAGGTCTTTCCTAATGCTCACCTTCAGCACTACTTCACACAGGGCCCAGCCACCAGTGTGTCCCACAAACACCAAACACTTAGAGGAGAACTAAAAACTTAGAGAATATCAAGCCTAGTGGATTCCTCAACAACTTATACATGTTTTTAAAAATGTAAACACCTGTAAATACAAAAAGATAAAAGCATCCCAAAATCTGTGATAAGCTCTCTAGGAAAGCTCAGCAATGCTGCTCTCTCCCTCCCAGGCCTACTCACCTTCTTTCCCCTCCCCCACCCCCGGCCCGGTGCCCACCTTTGGCACTCCCGTACAATTGGGTATGGCCGGTGGAGATCTACTGGGAAGAAGGTCATGAAACATAGTTCCAGAATTATGTCTTCCTCTTCTTTTTTTGCAATGTCCAATGGCAAATTTTTACTTCTATATCCAGAAACATAATTTCTAAACTTTTTTTGTACACTGTTCCATCATTGAAATGACAGAATTTTAATTCTGTAGAGACTGAAAGTTATTTCAGAAGAAAAATAAATTGGCTTCCTAACTCAAATTAACTGATCACAGAAATAATTCTGTTTACTTCGAATGGTTTATTTCCTCTGTGGCCGTGTCCTGCAGTTTGTGCAACCATCAAAGTATAATGTAAGAAACTTGAACTTGAGCAAAATGCTAACAAAGAGTAAGATTCTGACCTCCCCTAACCTTGATGACATTCATTAATTCACTGTGCATTTACAAAGCTCTACTATATACCCAGCACTGTGTGGTAAAATGCAGAATAATATAGGGTTTATGGCCTCATAATCCAGTAGGAGATTGATCAACGGATAAATTATAAGACAAATCCATTAGTGATATAGTGATGATAACGCAGAAGTTGAAAGGAGAGAGATGTCTTACAAATGATTAATTTAGTTATAGATGGAACTTGCCTTCTGTGCAGCCAGAATCTACGTGAAATCATTTATAGTAAAACAGTCAGTTCAGACAACTTATTGGGGGATCAGCAACATTATCTCTATAAAGAAGAAGCAATTTTAAAAAGTCTTATTGTCATGTCCTATGTTTTTGAGCATGTTGCAAAAAACAAAATGCATATAAATATTTGGAACACCAGTTACTTTTTAACATTATTGTATATCATATGAATTCAGTATCCAAGTACCACTACCTTGTATCAAAGCATAAACATGTGACATTTAATACATATATTGTTTGTTTGATAAAAATACGGGCATTTATGAAAATTAGATAATAAAATGACAATGTACTTTAGCTGGCAGGTCACCTTTTAAGTAGACAGTATAGGTTTTATACACAAAGTAAGACATACCACAATACCTAATCTCCCTCCCCCTCCCTCCCTCCCTCCCTCCCTCTCTCTCTCTCTCTCTTTTAGAAATAAGTAATTCATACATTTTATTTTATTTTTAATATATTTTATTGATTTTTTTTTACAAAGAGGAAGGGAGAGGGATAGAGAGAGAGCTAGAAACATCGATGAGAAAGAAACATCGACCAGCTGCCTGGCGCCCCCACCAGGGATTGTGCCTGCAACCGAAGTACATGCCCTTGACCGGAATTGAACCTGGGACCTTCCAGTCCACAGACCAACGCTCTATCCTCTGAGCCAAATCAATTTCAGCCTAATCTCTTTTGACAAGAATAAGAAGCCTATTGGAGGGAACAGAATTTAGATATTTTGTTAATATATAATTAAGATGAATTAATATTTGCCATTAGAAAGTAGCTTATGTAAAATGTAAGTAAAATAAAAGAATTAGTTCACTTGGGAATAATTGTGTGTGTGTGTGTGTGTGTGTGTGTGTTTTAAAATTGTAAAAACAAAAAATAAAAACAAGAAAAAATGAACAGAAATAGCAAGAGACAAGGAAATAAATAGTAAGCAAAAATGAACAAATTGGCTTTCTGGTAAAAAGATGTATAATGTGTTTGCATCATGTTAGTCGGATTTATTATGTTGGTCGTCTTTCTCTACCTCTTTATATTAAAGAATGTATGCTTTACAAAAGCAGGAATTTTAATCCTACTTTATCCACTACTGTCTTCCTAGAGTCCAGGACCAGACCAAGGGTGTAGGAGATGCTCAGTAATTATGAGTAAATGAATTTTAGACATGAAATTCCAATCAGGTATGTTAATGAGATACCCTGACCACCTTCATTCTCTTGTTCCTCACATGAAAGGACAATTTGTCATTATTTAGAATGAAGTAATAAAACTCCATAATGTGGCCCATAAGGTCCTATATGGTATGTTCATTCTTTACTTGATTTCTGCTCCACTCACACTGAAAGCATCCATATTCATCACAGTGTCTCTAAATACAGAACTTCTAAGCTACTGGCCCTTTGATTTGAAATGTGTATTTGTTGTTGTTTTTTCAGTCTCCCCTTATTAATTTGTTCAAACTTCAGCTTACCTCTCAATTGCTAAAGAATCACACCCTTATCTTCCTATATGAAATGCCCCAATCCCAGCCTCTCAGAAAGCTGTATACCTCCTCCTGCCTAGAATTTCCATCTAGTATGTATGCTTAGACCTATTTGTATAATTATCTATCATCCTAACAGAGTGTGTGTCAATTTTTTTCTCAACTTTTTATCTCTAGCAACTAGCTTACACCCGGCCCAAAGAAAGTCCTCAATAAGTATGTGTGGAATGAATAGTGCAGTGAACTAATAAGAACACTGCTCCACAATGATAGGCACCTTGAGGCTGATGTGTTTATAATTGCTCCCATGTGGCAAGTATTCACAAGTAAATTAACCTCACTAAATTTGGGGTCACATAGTTCTGTTTCCCACTATTGCATCCATTTCATAGAAAGCAAGAGACTGATCACCACAATAAAAGGACTTGGTAATTATCTACTTGATCGATTATTTCTTTTTCAACTACCAATCCATATGCAACTCAATACTAACACTACATAAATAAGATTCAATTCTAGAGACATGAGAAACTATAAAAAGTTCTATTAGGCTATATGGTCTTTTTTCCCCCTTCATTTTTTAGGCAAAGATTACTCTGGAATTTTTAAGAGTATCTGTTTTTCTGTTTGCACTTTTAAAAATATAGGCCATCTCTTTATAGGATTACCATCTGTGTCGTGATACCGAAGTATATGTTCTGAATTCGTTTTACTACTTTTCTAATTGTAAAAACTTAAGTTTACATGTATACTTGAAAATATGTATGAATTTATAAGTGAAGAGGTTTTAGGCATGAATATTTTATACATATGGGCAGAACATCTTTAAGAAATTTCCCCCCCCCAAAAAAAAGAAATTTCCCAATCTCTTTTTAAAAAATGATTGGACATAGTCATTCCTGTCATTGTAACACCTAATAAATTAAAAGACAGCATCAAACTACTTACCTTTAACAACTAAAACAGCTTTTTCATTGCCATTTTTACAAGTGAGGAAACTGGCTCTCAAAAAGAAAAATTTGCCCAATGGAGTTAAAAATAATTTGTCCCTAGGAAATCGCATACCTGGAATCTGAGCCTGGCTGCTGACACCAAAGTTCACCTCTTCTCCTACAATAAACTGCCCTGCTGGTTCATCTCAAATTAGTGGTTCCCAAATTTTCTGGACTTAGCACCCCTTTATCTTCTTAAAATTGAATGTGAACCACAAGAAGCTTTGTCTATGTGGGTGATGCTACTAAAATTTACCCTCTTAGAAATTAAAACTGAGAAGATTTAAAAACACTTAATTTTTAATTTATTTTTAAATGACAATATATGCATTCATGTTAACATAAATAATATTTTCATGAAAAATAAATACAATTTCCAAACAATAAAAACTCACTGAGAGAAGTGGCACTGCTGTAGATTACTGGCTGACTTAAGATAGTGGACTCTCACATCTGCATCTGTATCTGATCTGCTCCAGTATGTTGTTTTAGTTCAAGTGTAAGAAGAAAATCGAGCCTCCTACAGACACAGAGCTGGAAGAGGGAGGAGCGTTTCATATAATCTTTCCACGTAACTGTGGATATTCTGTGATACTACACCAAAAATTAACAAGTGATAGTTTCTTAACTTAGTTGCATTGCAAAATCTGAAACCACATCAAGAATTTTACTCAGAGGATCATCCTTGTTCTACAGATATACAAAAAGACACAGCTTACGCTTACCAGGGGATATTTTCCCAATGATTTTTAAAGAGTGGAAGGGGAGAAAAGAGAGGGGGAGGGAGGACAGGGGAAAACATCGATGTGAGAGAGACACATTGACTGATTGTCTCCCACATGGACCTCGACAGGGGATAGAAAAGGAGTCTGCAACCCAGGTATGTGCCCTTGACCAAAGTCAAACCCGAGACCTTACTGTCCATGGGCCAACACTCTACCATTGAGTCACACCAGCCAGGGCAGACAGACCTTGTTCTTTAAATAAAACAGTTCACTCCTGTCAAAATATTAACTCAAGATCCAATTCCAAGAAATCATCAACAATGAATTTGTAAGGAACCTGACAAAATTATAATGAAGCTAACTTTGGCACATAAATAATGAAAGAAGTAAAAAACTCAAAGGACAAATGAGGGAGAATAAGATACACAAGACATTAAAACACACTGTAATAGCTTAAAATTAAAGGGGGAAACAAAGACTAGAAAGTCAAGAAATAGACCAAGACACAAATCAAGAGTATGTGACTATAA